GGCAATGAAGTATGCCCTTGTGAAGTTTCGGGTGCATCTTCTGGGCTCAAGCCTCGATACAGACCACGCATCCTTGCGGATGACGACGAATTCGCCTCACCTCTCCCAACGGATGGCGAGGTGGCTGTCCTTCCTCGAGGGGTACAACTTCCGCGTTGAGGGGCAAGGTTAACGTGCTTGCGGACGCCCTCTTTCGAACTACGAGTTGGCCCATATCACACGGGTGACAGCGAATCTATATGATCGGATACGCGTGGCGTATCGAGACGGTGAGGCTGTCGCGCCTATCGTCAAGCTCCTAGCAGCAGGAGCGATCGCGAAGACCGACTGGCTTTCTTCGCGACAGCGTTCCCGGCTCCATCGATATGAGTTGAAGGATGACCTCCTCTATCATCGGGTGGAGCCTAGTGAATCTCCACGGGTGGTCGTACCCAGCGACGAGGATCTGAAGTTCAACATCCTCGCGGAGGCGCACGATGCACCCTCCAGCGGCCACTTGGGTCGCGAGGAGACCTTCCTGTCAGTCTCTCAGGCCTTCTGGTGGACCCACATGTACAAGTGGGTCGCACGATACGTGAAGACATGCGAAACATGTAGGCAAGGTAAACCCGCAGGGCACGCTTCGGCACCGTTCCAGAGCCTGCCCATTCCGGCTGACTGTTGGAAGTCGATGAGTCTTGACTTCATCTTTTGGCTTCCCGCCGACGGACACGGCAACACCGGGATTTTGGTGTTTGTGTGTCGGCTGAGCAAGATCATACATCTTGTTCCAGTACCCCGTTACCGTCATAGCCGAATAGGCCGTGAGGTTGTTCGTCGATGGCGTGTTCTGCTATCACGGTCTCCCGGAGATGACTGTCTCGGACCGATACCCGCGGTTCACGGCCGCGTTTTGGAAAACGCTGTTTCCGTTACTGGTAACTCGTCTGCAGATGGCCACTGCGGACCATCCACAGACAGACAGCCAGACAGAGGGTGTCAAACGAGTGCTCGAGGACACTCTGCGCAGTGTGTGCGCGAAATCCCCACGTACGTGGTCGACGCAGCTTCCAGTTGCTGCGTTTGCGCTCAACAACGCGATGCACGCGTTTACGGGGCTCACGCCCTCTACTTGAATGGCTTCCGTCACCCCAGACTGCCTCTCACTCTTCGAGGAGACACTACATCATCTATTCTAAGTGGGGGGAGGCTCGGAAAGCTCATTCTTCCAAGGTCTCAGATGTGAGACTGGCTTCACTGCAGGAGCAAGTGGAATCCGTTGTGGATACCAAGCTGAGCAGGATCCACAGGGCTCGCGATGCCATGACAGCGGCTCAGGACAGACAGAAGGAGTACTCTGACAGACATGGAAGAGGAAACTTAAGTGTGTTTAAGGTGGGTGAATTAGTGTTATTAGACACGATGAGCCTACCGCTAGACACTGTAAGCTTTGTCGGCAGCAGCAAGCTGAATCACCGCTTCATTTTTTCATACCGTTTGCAGTCTCAGTCAGGCATGGTGGGCGTACACCATCGACCTGCCGAAGTCAATGACGACGCACTCGACGTTCTACGTTGGACGTCTTTAGTGGTACCATGATCCGCCAGGGGGTTGCTGAATCGCCGACCCACCTTGGTCCAACTTCTCGAAGCGAGGACCGGCCACAGACGTCGACAAGGGCGTCGGAGCAGGCAGCCAGGCCTCGGGCCGAACAGCAAGGCTGCGGCCAAGACCGTGCGCCGGAGGGACCAGTACGAACGGACCCTAGAGCCATACGTCGAGTACGTCGTGTACGGACCATACGCGTACGACTGCGAGTGCGCCGAATGCGGCTACGGACGTGGCAGCAGAGCCTTTACACGTCGGATCATGCGGAAGGCTTCGTCAAGATCGGACGAAGAGGTCCGCCGGTCCACCCGCAGATGCAGGCTCGAGACCTCCCGCTCCAACAGGTCCAGGCGGCCCGCAAGGCGAGCGAGCACGGCCTTATTCCCGGCCTGGGCGGCAGCATCATCGCCAGTCCCAAGTCCAAGTGCAATCTCAAGCAAGAGGACGCGCTGACGGAGGCGGTCGACCTTAAGGCCCTGCGTTGGTCCCGAAGGAGAAGCACTCGGACAAGAGTAGCGTTCCGGGGGCGCCGAGTACTCGTACTTGTACGAGGACACTTCCGGGCCCTGCTTGACCGGAACGGAGAGGTACACTACCACGTGGAGCGGGATTCCCCAGGAGCAACGGCGTCGCGATAAGCGACAGCTTCTCGTGAAGTGGAGGGGTTATGCCCACTCCGAGAGCTCATGGGAGCCGATTGAACGGCTCATAATAGACTGCCTAAAGGCCGTCGCAATCTGGGAACAGAAGCTGCGGCAGCTTCATAAATGGTCCGGGGCTTCTTGCCCGAACGGGGTACGGACGATGAACACATTCCGTACCCGCGCTCATCGTGAGCGCTGGAAGCTGCGCGCTTCAGGATGTCCCTTGGCAGCATATACTTGCTGACCAAGTGGGCGAACCAGACACGAAGATCACGCTGATGGGACAGCAGCTGATCTTCATGGAGTTCCCAAAACGTCGAGGGTTAGTACTTGAGAGACCCAACCCACGCCAAGAACATGTCCTCACGCCAGTTTCGCTTGGGACAGTTCTCGGAAAGTGCCCAGGGGTAGCCCCAGAGAGGGTAGAGACCACCTCGGTTCTCAGGCTGTTTACGACAAGTCGTGAAGTCCTTCAGAGGGATTCTGTGTGGCGCGAGAAGCACGCACCGGTCCGCCTCCAAGTTGTCTGCTCCTTCTGAACTAGGGCACGCTCGTAAACGCCCTTAGAAGTGTGGCCACCGACAAGGCCACAAGGAGCGACATGGATCTCCTGAAAGAGGTCAGCCCCAGAGCTCTCCTCGGGAGACCAATAACCTCTTGAGTTGATGGCAGCTCCCTGGCTAATGGGTGCCACCGCCGGACCCCCACGCATGCGCTGGTCAGCTTGGAAGTCCTCCTCATTCGAGGTCTCCCGGGGCTCATGGATTAGTCCCTCCTCCTCCTCTTCATCCGAGGAAGAGGTTCCGATAGGAGTACCCAGTCTCCTTCTCCTCGCGGAGCTGAGACTTTGAAGCCGTGCGCTTCTTAGAGGGCTCCACTTCTTCGGCTTTGGCGGCCTTATCTCCCCGTCTTCGCCAGCTTTGGGAGATCCGTTAGCCTTGACGGCAGGACTTTCAGAGTGCACATACGTACTGAGGCTGTGATCATCGTGATCACTAGCGAGCGAGTGCACGCTGTCGTCGTCGTGCTTACTGGGCACTGGAGGGAGCCCTTCCACGGAGCCACAGGAGCATCGTGAGTGCTTCTGAAACTGACCTCGTCCTCACTGCCCCAATTGAGCTCACGTTCAGCGAACCGCGGATTCGGAATGCAGTCTGGAAAGACCGAAGGTGACAGACTACGGCGCTTGCCTGTACGCTTGCTCGCAGCCGCGCCACCAGAAGAGCCGATCACCTCCGAGGCCGCCTTAGTAGCCTCCCGGAGTGCAGAGCCTTTGCCGCGAGGCTTAGTGCTCTTGGCTCGCCCCTTTCCGGCAGCAGCCTTGGAGCTTGTTTATCGCACTACTCTTCACAGCGCCACGGGGCATGCTGAAGGTCGAAGTGGAGACCGAGAAAAAGAGCGCTCAACCGCTGCTCGAGGCTCTAGCGGTAAAGTGAGCCTCCGCCGCGCTCGCGCAGCCAAGTCGATGTATTTCGACTTTAAGAATGAGAGTTTGTGACCTACACTTTCTCATTCTGAATGGTCGGTAAACCGAACCTAAGTGGGGGAGGATGTAACGGGGTACGTAACCCCAAGTATACTTCTAGCTACATGAAGTGTGACGCGTCGCATATCTGGTGCCAACCGTTGGCTGATGGCATAGCTTTTCTATATGTGACTTAAAGTTTGTTTATTAAGCTCAAGCTTAGCCTACCTATAAATATATTCAGTTTACAACTTACCTTAAATTGGTCACTTCGCTCCCTTAGACAAAAGGGACCTGTGAACTATTGTTCACTGAGAGTTTGTAAACTCTCGGAAGCCAACTTTCTCTAGCGCAAGGTGCTGTGTGACCCCGTCACAGTTGCCGTGACCCGAAAACAAAATTTTAGTTTAATCTCATTATTCGTGTGCCTATCTTGTGCCTTTCTATTGGCCTAAAAGCTGTAGTTAGATTTAATGATAAGTAGACGAAAGGCTGCATGTAGTAGTGAAATCAGATCGAAACCCTCGACACATGAGTTAGTCTACAGTAATGAGGTCTTATTTAGCACCAGTACGACTAGACGTGCTAAAAGGACTACGGTGATACCCTTTTGGGTTATTTACAAGTAATATTGAAGATGCTACTAGCGATCCAAAACAAAAATCGATAAAAAATGAATCTTTGCGGCCACTGTTATTGACATCTCGCCGAATCTCAGGTTTATAAAGGTCGAGCAAAAAAAATCTGAAACATACCTGAAGTGCTGATTCGTAAGTGGGCCAGACTGGTACGTTTCGATCTCGTCCTCAACATTGTATGCCATACACCAATTCTCACAGCAACTTGCTGTCCTGTGGTGGAATTAGCCCAACCGGATTAGTGAAGGTGAACGATATTAATATGTGGAGGGAGGCTTCATACGGAACGTGCGGTGGAGCTTCGCCAATTGGCTGTGGTGGCACTGAAATCACCTCAGACGAACTTTCGAAGGAGTAAAAGTGATGAGAATGTATGTGGAGGAGAGTTCTATACCGTATGGTAATGCCAATTTCACGCGAGGCTTTGCTCTTGACAAGCAAGCAAGGATGCTTTCTGCTTGGGGGCGCTGTACGTGTTTTTATGACAGAAAAACGCGGTGGCCATCATAAATCTGCGTCAGTGACGTCGTCGCGTCGATTACTCACAATGTCCCAAGAGAACCCGCGGGTTGGCGTAACCCTCACAAAAATCAACATAAATAGAGCGGGTCTGCGACCCAAGTATCATTGCCAGCGAGCACATTTTGCAGTCTCACAATTCAATCTCCCTGCAACCCGCAAGAGTCTATAATCTCACAATGGCCCGTACATACCTCATCGGTGGCAACTGGAAGTGCAACGGCACGGTACAGTCCGTCAAGGACCTGTGTGCTCTGCTCAACAAGGTGGAGATCACTTCCGACAAGGTGGAAGTGATTGTGTCGCCCCCGGCGCTACACATTGACCTGGCCAAGTCGCTGTTGCAGAAGAAGATCGCTGTGAGTGCGCAGAACGTTAGTCTGACTGGCACGGGCGCCTACACGGGCGAGATCGCGGCCGAGCAGCTTGTGGACTTCGGTCTGGAGTGGACCATCACGGGTCACTCGGAGCGTCGCGCCTATTACAACGAGACGGACGAGATCGTGGCCAAAAAGACTAAGCGCGCGCTGGACTTGGGCCTTAAGGTCATTTTCTGCATTGGTGAGTCGCTTGAGGAGCGCGAGGGCAACAAGACGATGGACGTGCTCATCCGTCAGACGCAGGCCCTGGCTAACATTGTCACTGAGGCTGACTGGGCCCGTATTGTCATCGCCTATGAGCCTGTGTGGGCCATTGGCACGGGTGTTGTCGCCACTCCCGCCCAGGTCCAGGAGGCCCACAAGGACCTGCGTGGGTGGATTGCTGGCAAGGTGTCCCCTGAAGTCGCCGAGAACGTCCGCATCATCTACGGCGGCTCTGTGAAGGGTGACAACTGTGAGGAGCTCATTGCTCTGGCCGATGTTGACGGCTTCCTAGTGGGCGGTGCCGCGCTCAAGCCTGAGTTCGAGAAGATCATCAAGAGCGCTTTCTAAGTGCAAAACTTCACTTTTGGTGGCCTAGTAATGCGTTAATACAACAATTCCCGAACATCCATAACAAAATTAGATGAATTAGTACTACCACACAATATTTTAGACTCTTTCTTATTTAAAAAAACTACTAGAGATTCCTCAAGGATATTTTTACAATAATAGTACTAAGATAGTACTTCAAAGGTACGGTAGTAGTAGTAGTTTTTCGACAATTTCACCAAAAACATAACATTTGATGATCCGAGTTGCATTACCGGTATTGGATGTTCCTGGTTGTAATGATGAAGTAGAGTTTTCATAAATGCTTGGATCTAACTGTAGTAGAATTCGAGCTAGGAAGTTGTACAGATTGCCCAGTGTTGAATGCCTATAGTATCGCAGTCAGTAATGCCGTCGAGATCATCGCGATACCGGCCGTCACAAGGCCCGAAAGCTTGATCGAAGAAGCTGCACTGGCAGCCTTAACTGCTGCGCTGGCCGCATCCTCGTTCGGCAGGGTGATCGACTGGTCCGAGTAGCTGCAGTCACCATTGTTCGGGATGTGGAGATTCAACGCCTTAGCGTCCTCCTTCATATCATTGAGCATGCCCACGAACCAATCCTCCAAATATGTGTCGCCCCTATCTTCGTCGTCTCCACTCAGAGCTTTGATCACTTTATCCGTGGCTCGAAGTCCGATCAATGGTAGATTCGACGACGTTGTGGCGTATGAGAAAAATACATCCCCAGTAATCGACTTGTCCGATGTGAAGAGATCTGATAGTGGTACACTCTTGCCACCTACATTCAAAGTCCCCGAAAAGACACCCCACGATTTCATGTAGCTGGTGAAGGTATCGATAGGATCGAGACAGATGCCCATGGTATCGGCACCGTTAGTTCCGAATCCGATTGTGACTTTTTTGCCGTCCGTGTTGGTGAAGGCGTTGCCAGCAAATGCATCGCACATTTGGTCGTTCGGGATTTCAGCCAGATTCATGAGAGACGATACCTCCTCGTCCGACTCGATAAAGGTGAAGGAGTTGTAAATGGAGTAGCCGCACATCTCTTTGGTTGAAGCACTCTTAAGATTTGTGAACGTCCTTTCACTGCACGCAATGTTGGCGCCAAGTTCAGCGAGTTTAATCACAAACTCACCAAGTGAATCGCCGAACAGCGTCTTCACTTCGTCGAGGAAGTCGTCACAGCAGCCTCCAGTACTGCTCAGAGCGTCCATGATATTGTCGGTCATCACGGACTTGACACACGGCATGATGGTATTCTCAGTCATGGTGCACATACTCGACCATCCGTCGTTGGTGCCAAGCTCGCCATCGAAGTTCTCGAGAGCGGAGAAGCAGCTCTTGACGGACGAGGAGCTGGCCACCGACGTGTAGATAGCCTTGGGGTCGACGGCGGCAACGCACTTGGACAACCATGGAAGAGCAGTGTCGATCTCCTTGAACACAGTGGAGAAGTCGATCGGGGAGAGATCGGTTTCAGTCCAAGAGGCCAGGGATTTGTTAAAGGTACTGCTGGAGTCGAGCAGAGTCTTGCAGGTTGAGGCCTTAGCAGCATTGTGGGCACTGATCGCGACGAGGAGCACTAGGAGCGCGCGGAAACGAGAAGCATACAAGCGCATCGGTGGTCAAGCTGGTTTGGTTGTTGCCGTGGGAGGAAAGTTGCAAACTAATTTTGCAAGAGATGCATGCTCACTACTATTTGCATTTTGCATAAGAATGTCTTGGAGGCGATATCTATAGCAATCCCACAGCATGAAATCACTTTTGTCAAACTACCTCTCCTTCAAAGTATTGGCGTGATCTCAGGCTTGCTATGAATAACTTTTACTTAAACAGTAAACAAGCCCCAAGAATAGTATCGGTAGCCAGGTCCCGCGAGACTATTTTGATCATGAAAATTGCTTCCACATTGAGTGCGCTAAAAATGGATTACTATTGCTTAACCTATTTTTAGCAAGCTTTTAGATGACTCATTCCTCCAACACCGGCAGCAATCGATGCGAGTAAAAGTAATCAAATAAACTAACAAAGAAAACAGGCGCCATGTATTTCAAGACGTTTGCTGCAACACCTCCATCACCTTCCTCCTACGCTTCCGTTGTCTCTTGCACAGGCCGCTCGATCGTCGGCTGTTCCACAACTTCATCCTCTCGGTCAGCGTCGTCCTCACGGTGACGGAATCTCGGGTTCTCCTCCTCTTTATTTTCGTCTCGGGGTGAGTCAGGGCGTCGCTGGCGACTGGCAGGCGGTTCGTCAGCCGCCGTGCCGTCATCTCTAGGCCTCTTGACATGGGCTGAACGACGGAAGTGGTGGCCATCGGCTGTGGCGTCATCTCCACGTCCATAGCCACCACGCCCGGCGTCGTAGTCGTCCTTGGAGCGTCTATCGTCTCGTACTTGGCCTCCCGACAGGCCGCGACCGAACTGACGGCCCTCACGGAAGCCGCCGTCCATCTCGCAGCGCACCACACGGTTGTCGAGCTTGGTCTCGCTCAAAAACTGCGAACAAGCCTCAGCCTCAACGTGTGCACTGTACTCGACAAAGCAGAAGCCACATGGTGTCTTCTTGAAGCGGTCGAGGCCCATTATGACGCGCTTCACGTGCCCCACGCGGCTGAATAGCTCGTAAATCTGCGCCTCGGATGTGAAGAACGACAGGTTGCCCACGTACAACGTACTGGAGCGCTCCATGGCGCGCTGCTGCTCAGCGAACGACGAGAACGTTTTGCGGTCCCAGTACTGACGCTGCGACGGTCCGCGTGCCAGACGCTGCTCCTCATCTGCCACCTCCGCGTAAAGCTCCGCCATTATGCTTGGTGGATAGAAACTCTAAATGAAGGATCATGTATGTAATAAATTGCTGTAAAACACACAAATGAAATTTGACTTTGGATACCTAAGTGAAATATGACATTACGGTTTTACTATTGGGTTTTCAGAGCATGCCAGTCGTTATGCCTATGGTGGCGACAACTTGTAGTCCACGCACTAATAGTCTTGATACTGTCCATTGTTGTGAATGGTGCAGCGACTGGGAGCTCGATCTCACTGCTGGGACAGCGTCGGACGCAGCGTCGCAAGAGCGGATTGCAGTGGTCAGCACTGTGCGTAAATTGTAGCTCTCCAACTCGCAGGATGGAATACTGGAGACCATACTGGTGAGGAAAGCCAAACACGAGCTATCGGAGCAAAAAGCCGTTGTGGAAGTCGCGCCGGACAGCGCATCACTACCGCACACGTCGGTGACGTTGCTGCTTAGCGCCGAGAGCTCCGCGATTTGCGCAGACGTGCAGTCAGCCGCGTCCGTCACGGAGATAAAGGCCAGAGCCACAACACAGGACAGGAGGAGCGAGGTGAGGTTGTGGTGGAGCGGCATCGACTGTAGTCAAGCAGAATTGGCCCGGCTTCTCGCTAGTATGACGCAAATTGGGTACTGCAACTGAGTGAAAGGGGTTCACTGAAGCTCACTATGGGTCGGAATGTTGACTGATTACTTGATCAAGAAACGGCAACTTGTTTTTTTGTTGCACCAAAACTCAAAGCTTTATCGGATGCAACAGGACACAGTATCCAGCAGAGAGCACGAGGCAAAGATAACGAAAAACGTGCAAATTATTAAGTTCATTATATGAATACACATCACCAGGTCTACATCGTTCTCCAACAGTTACCTCATCGAGTCGTCATCCAGATCAAGAGGAGGAGACTGACGCCATGCAACACCAACGCAATTGTATTCGCACCAGTATGAACAGGGGTTGCACCGCTGCTGCCGCTAGTACTTGAGGTGGCAGCGGTTTGTGCCGCCAATGTGGCGAAGATGCCACTGTGCAACTCATTGTCAGAAACCGTTCTCGACGCCTTTTCGAGCTCTGGAAATGTGTAAGACGAAATTCGCCGGACACAGAGATCTCGTTGTCCGCGACAAACTGAACAAACCTGTGCATAAGAATGTCTTCTGCAGCCGAACTGCGCCTTATAGCAGACTTCTGCATTCTCATAGCAAGGAGGGTTCCTTTCACGAAGCGCTTCCAGATCGGTAGGCAACTTTTGCATGTGATTCGTCGACTCGTCCGCCAGTGCGTTATACAGTGCGATCGTCTGTTCTGTACGTGCAATGTTGGCCTCGAGCGACGACGGACTCTCCCAGAACGGAATGCTAGTTACATTATTCAATCCAAGTGTCTTGTCTTGGTCGTATGAGTGGAACTCGATGTTGCCAGCTTTGCAGAATATGTTAAAGTTCTTATAATATTTGCTCGAGGCTTTCTGAACGTTGTCAATCGCTGAGGAACTTGATGATCCAGATCCCGAATTTAAACGTGTATCCATACTTGTCGCATTAATTTCTGTGATCCCCACTAGTTGATCAATCGACAGAAAACCCAAAATCTTATATGAAAATGTGCACTTCACTCCATCAGGATCCGTCCCAAGCGGACACAGTCCACCAGGGTATTGCTCACGACACGATTCGCTTTTCCGGTTTTTCCAGCTCGACGTCACGCAACTATTTGGGTACGAGAACCATACTGTATCATAATACGGCGCCACCATATCCGCTGAGAAAGCTTGGGCCCCCACGCATGGTCCAATATTTGGCTGTCCATCAAGTCCATTGAACTGTTTGCATTCGGGTGGATGTTGTCTACTCGAGCTACTGTCAGAGCTCGTGTCTCCATTGTCCTGAACGTCTGCATAGGCGCATTCTCCGTCCTCCATCGCCACAAAGGGACAAAATTCCGGGTACATATATTTCTGTTCCTGATACTCAGCCAATGCAACGTTAGGTTGCACGATCTGCACCTCTAGGAACGTAATAACGCTCACGTTGTTTTTGCGCTCACAGTTCACCGATTCGTCCGTTGGATCGGAGCCACGGTCGATACAGTCGCGTTGTAAGTACATGAGTGCTCCCTCGATACTGGATGTGGTGATAGAGTCCATTGTGGCTCGATATCGCTCATCAAACGTGAGATTTCCACTGGAAGACACGGAGTCCGGGATGCCAGACACATAAACCTGATTGTCGTCGTCCCAAACGGGAGCATACGTCTCTACACGAGCCTGGTAAGACGTCACCGTTCGCATCGCCCACGAATCAACCCCATACAGCGATACCAAAAGCAACAGCGGCAGCGTGTACATGCCCGCGACACTTATAGCGACAGGAAGCATGGAACCGAGCTGTTGGCACTTTCCAATAAATGACCTCCCGTGCTTATCCAACCAGAATTCCATTTTCGTGTGGTGGACACAATCTGAAGAAAGAGGCAGTAAGTTGAACTGCAACTGGCAACTTTTATCAGTTGCAAAAGGAAATGTAAACTGAAAAAAAGATACGATTGTTGGGACGGTTGCCTCTTCCTGTTCACTGACCTACAACTACAAGTGTTTCCTTCTACAAGGAATTATAAGGTCTTAGTACTCACTCATAACGGGGGCCACACGTCCACTAGCTCAGCGCGCGTCGAGTAAAAAATGCTTATGACGAGCATTCCTCGCCCTTCGTGCCATCCGCTGGGATGTACCAGCAGTGTTTGGTCTCGACACCACCAGCACTTGTGGCCTTCATACTCGATCCGAACGTCCACGAGTCATCAGCCGTGTGGTATTGCAACTTCATCCAATCCTCCGACGCCGTCATAGAGAAGAACCCGTACTCGTCACCTGTGTACGTCCACACGTTGCTTACATATTCGGCCGCGTACGTGGTAAGTCCACTGGCCGATTCCTTCTGAATGCCTCCGCCAGCTCCGTTCTCGACAAAGTGAACACCGAGAGACTCCGAGTAATCGTGTTTCTCACCGTGCGTGTGGCCATACACCCAGGCATGAATACCAGAGCCTTCCAAAATGTCAAACCATTCCTTCATACCCTTTTCGGCGTAGTGCACACTGGGACTGTAGTGACTGTTGACAATTTTCCATGTGGCATTGGAAGTTTGCACCTTTTCAGCCAATTGCGTACGTGAATCGTCACTCCACTCAGTAAACTTGGCAAAACACGAGTCGTACATGTCAGTGTCGCCGCCAGCGCAGAATTTGTCGCCGCGAGCAACACTGTTGCACTTGTCGTCGTCGCCTTCCGAGTAGCCATAGCATTGGCAACACACTTGTTGGGCAGCGTGGACGTCGGCATCACCGGAATCGACGTTGAAGATGTCGATACTGACACCTGAGTCGGCGTCTTCGATCGTGTGGACGTAGAAATGGTCTTTAAGCACCCAGCGGTCGTCGTTGGGACTCGTGTACTCTTGTTGCCACTTGAATTTGTTCTCCAGCGCTGTGATTAGTTCGTCTGTGGTACTGCATTGGGCGTTGTTGTCACCGTCGGAGCAAATGTAGCTGGCACCGCCGTAATCGTGGTTGCCTAGCACGTTGACGAAGGGAATTCCAGCCAAATTCTCGCCGTCGAACTTGCCTTCAAACGTGGTCGCGAAACGGGAGTCACGGCCATCTTCACTGTTGATACCTGTCCAGTAAAAATTGTCACCGTGACTGAGAATGGCCTTGGGCTTGACGTCAGTTTCACCTGCCTGTGTGTTCATAAGGCTGGACACAACATCCTCGGCAACAACGTCGAAGTTATTGAATGTTTTGGAGCGTGTGCAACAAGAGTCTTTGGTCACAGTTGTGCCCCAATCTCCAATGGCAAAAGCTGCAACTGAGTATATTACTGATAAAAATAATGGAAAATCCATTGTCAGTACTGTATTTGCAACAATCGATGCAACGGGAAAAAAAGGAATGAAGGTCATACCTGAGGTTGGGTCTGAGGTAACAGTGGCCGTGACGGAGTTGCTGCCCGTTGATGAATTGGACGATTTTTTGCTGGTGGACGAGCTAGTTCCACCAGTGCCACCGCTGGAAGTTGAGTCGTTCGAGTTGGCCGATTCCTCGGAAGACGTTGAAGACGAGTCCGACTTGGTGGCTACGAGTACGCCCACGATGGCACCTACCACGGCGCAGAGCACCACGATACCGATGATGATGAGGCGTTTATTGACTGCCATTTGCGTTGCCACACTTTTGCCAAAGAGTGAAAAGTCTCTTGTCCACTGGAAGCGAATTTGAAGAGTGCCGAATCCAGGTTGACCCACGGAATGGAAAAACCTCGGAAGTGAAAAACCTTGAGCACAAGATATCTGATTTTTTTACAATCCCGTAGCTAATAATATGCCTCCCATGAAGAATGTCAGCTCACTTATTCGAAAGACGACACGCACAACAAAAACACTCTTTGTAAGCATATTTGATCCTTGTTGAGAGGACCATCTGTCACCATACTAAAAACGTGTCGCACTTTGCATGGACAAGCCCTGCCGGACCAGCTTTCGACCAGCACGAAAGTTTTCGCTCTTCCCACAGCATCATGCAAGTCAATGCGCTATTCCGCGAGCAGGGTCTGCCACGCGCGAGAAAATCGCACGGGCAGTGGCAATTTGATTCTACAGATTTTCTTCTAAACATTGCTCAGCGTCGTTGAAACCCTCGATTAACAGCCCCCTCGCGTTAATCTGCGATAGCGTTGGAATTCCTCAACACATGGCATGAAAAGCGTGCGGCATGCCCAACAGATCCATCGGCAACGCGAAAGCCTCACTGAATAGTTTACCATGAAGCCTCACACTCGATTCTTGCGTGAGGGACTTTCCATCAACAAGCGCCAGGTCGACATGGTCTCTGCTGAACAAGCAAGAACCCAGGTTAACTTCGATAACTCAACTATGAGTAAATGGGACTTGAAGTGTCGACGCTCACAAATGTTGAGCTGCACCGCATCGAAACCAAAAATGTTACAGCGATATCCGTCAAGTGTGGCAAATATCACTAATAACGGAGAGGAACATTTCGGAGCAAACTCATTGTTTCATCAAAATAGATTTTACGACATCGCGATCTACATGTAAACTTAGTACAATAGTTGCCGACTCGGCCACAGTGTTCTTAACACTCTTTGCCTTCGCCACCATCAAGAGGGATGTACCAGCAGTGCTTGGTCGCCACACCACCAGCCTTCGTCGACTTGAAGCTCTCCGCGAACGTCCACGAATCATCCGCCGTATGGTACTGCAGCTTTAGCCATTCCTCCGATGCCTCGACGGACATGAAGCCATATTCGTGGCCACCGTACGCCCAAAGGGCCTCCACATCACCCGCAGCATACTCGGGGATACCACTGGCCGATTCCTTCTGGATACCACCACCAGCACCGTTGTTCACGAAGTGAATGGAATAGCCCGACGAGTAGTCGTGGTTTTCACCGTGAGTATGCCCATTCATCCAGAGCTGAACACCCGAGTCTTGCAGAACGTCGAACCACTTCTTCATACCCGCTTCATCGTAGTGAGCATATGGCGAATAGTGGCTGTTAACGATCTTCCACGTGGCTTTCGAAGCTGCTACCTCCTTGGCCAGCTGCTTACGCGAGTCATCACCCCACTCGGCGAACTTGTCAAAGCAAGCATCAAACATCTCAGTGTCGCCACCGCTGCAGAGTTTGTCTCCACGAGCGACATTCTTGCATTTCTTGTCGCTACCTTCTGCGTAGCCATAGCACTGGCAACACGTCTGTTGCGCTCCGTGGGTACTGGCATCACCTGCGTCCACATTGAAAATATCAATGCTCACACCTGAGTCCTTGTCCTCAATCGAGTACACATAGAAATGGTCCTTCAGAATCCAACGGTTGTCGTTCGGACTCGTGTAGTCCGACTGCCATTGGAACTTATTCGACAGTGCTTTAACCAACTCCTCAGCCGAGGAACATGCGGCGAGGCCCTTGTCATCCGCACAGATGTAACTGGCGCCACCGTAGTCGTGGTTACCCAGCACGTTGACCCATGGAACATTCTTGATATTGTCACCTCCGTATTTCTTTTCAAAAGTGGCAGTGAAACGGGAATCACGACTACCTTCGCTGTCGATACCTGTCCAGTAGAAGTTGTCACCGTGGCTGAGAACACACTTAGGGGGTGCCGATGCAGCAGAGACCTGTTGGTCCATCAGATTAGCCACAATGTCCTCGGCATTGACATCATAGTCGTTGTAGGTCGACGAACGTGTACAACACGAGTCTTGCGTGACAGTGGTACCCCAGTCACCAATTGCAAAGGCCGAAAGAGTGTATTTGGCTGTGAAAAAACAAAAGAATTCATGAGACTGAGCTGGGTGACACATCACGACTAGCGAAATCAAAGTTACCGGAAGTCGGATCGGATGTAATTGAGCCGGTACTTGAGCCGGAGCCCGAAGTTGTCTTCTTCTTCTTCTTCGACACGGAGCTTTTGCCACCGGTCGAGCCGGTGGTCGTGCTGTCGTTGTCGCTACTAGACACACCGGCACCTGAGCCAGAGGAAGCAGTCCCCGATGACTCGCTGGCAGAGCTGCTGGCCTTGCGCACCACCATGACGCCGACAATGGCGCCGATTATGGCGAGGACCAGCACCACGCCGACAAGCTGGGCTTTCTTGGACATCATTTTGACACCGAGATGTCGCTGTCCTGTTGTAGTTGCTGTGAGTATGTCCTGTCCTCCTGACGGGAGCTCTAATGCCTCTCCTCCTCGGCAAAAGCGCAAATGAGCACGAACTCACTGTGGTGCCTCCGTGTTGCTGCTCTGAACAATAGCCTATCCGATCCCCTCGCTGGCTCTTTTTGATTAAATCTTAGCAAGTCGACGTGCAAATTAGACTTTGTTCCCTTCGAACATCAAATACTGTAAAGGGATTTAATTACAGTAGACGAGGCGTGGACTCTGAAAATGTGCCGGAAAACATCTCCTCACATCTGAATTGACTGTCGAGACAACGATAAAGGCGCAAAATGTAGTTCCTTTGTGCTGTATTCTCCACACATGCCGCATGGAGCAAACGCGCAGTTGTGGCTTTTAGCGTCCATCATTTCTCTCTAGGCAAAATCCGGCAACTTGCCACAACAATGTGGCAACAAAAGCAATTTAACCCACGCAAAAAAAAGATTCATTCTAAACACTCATGGTACATGCACGTTAAAGCTGATTAACACTCCTTGCCAGTGCCACCGTCCACCGGGATATACCAGCAATGTTTGGTAGCAACACCTCCAATCTCGGTTGAGTTGAAACTCTCCGCAAAAGACCACGAGTCGTCGGCTGTGTGGTACTGCAACTTCAGCCACTCCTCTGACGCCTCCACTGACATGAAGCCGTACTCCTGGCCACCGTACGCCCACACAGCCTCAACATCAGACGAAGCGTATTCGGGGATGCCACTGGCAGACTCCTTCTGGATCCCGCCGCCAGCACCATTGTCGACACGAAGTATTTTATTTGGACCATATTTCGATCATCACAAAAACGGTCAACCTTCTATTTCGTACCTGGTCAAGTGATTTGATCAAATATCCATCTTAAGTACGGATATGTGTGGTCGACCACCTCCGTCATTTACACTTTCCCGACAACGAAGATAAGTAGCCACCCTTCCTGTACGACCATGATCCAGCAAGTTGTAGCGTCTCCAGCACCTTCTTCACCACTTCACGAGGCCACTACCTGCTCACCTCCGTGCAGTCAAAGGCACCAGAGATCTCGGCACAGCACCGAACGCATGCGAAACCCAAGCTCTCAGGGCGTCTCATCTTCGCGACGTCGCTGGAGTAAGTCTCGTTCCTGCCGCAGTCCAAGCCGCTGGCGTGTCGACGACCACAGCAACGGTCCACGCCATCACGACTCTGCTGGTCGTGGCCGCAGCTCACGTCGTCGTCACTCGTCCGGTCGCGAGCACAGTCCGAGTTGTCGGCGCAGTCATGGCCGTGGTCGCGGTCGTAGCCCAAGCCCACGTCGCGGGCGGAGTTATGGTTGCGGTTGCAGTCCAAGCCCAAGTCGGCGGCGCACTCGCGGTGGCGACCGCAGTACAAGTCGTCGGTACACTTCTCTCCGTGGATATAGCCCAAGGCACCAGATCTCTTCTGTACGACCCCATAAAAGTCGCTGGCGCGTCTCAAGTTTGTCTTGGCGCTCTTCGCGTTGCCGCTACAGCCGAAGTCCTCAGCGTACCGCTGGACATGATCAGAGACGGAGTCGTCGGAGATGCTCAAGTTACATGAGCTGGTTGAGTCGACGCCGAAACCCAAGTCGTCGCTGCAGTTCTTACACTCGGCGCGATTGCAGTCCTCGACAACGTGCGGCTCGGGGAAGAAGCCTAACTCCTCAACGAGACTCTAGCGATGCCTGCAGCGAGGGTTTTCCTGGCAGCTTAAGTGGATCACCTCCAGTTTTTTTTTAGTAGAGAAGGTGATCAGCAGCGTGCCATATCAACTTCACCTTCTACTGGGCATCCTGCAGACGAAGAAGCCGCTGAAGGTATTCCACAGCATGTTCCAGCGAACAGTGCTCAGCATCACCGTCGCACTGTTGTCCATGTAGCTGGTCACGCATTTACAGGTTACCATAAATCGGAGGTTAAGATTTCGTACAGATGTAGTTCCTACCGGAGTACAAAATGCAAGGCAAAGTTACATTACGTTATTAAGACAAATGAGTACCAATTTCGTGGTGAACATTCTTGCGACCGGCGTTGAGTGGAACTACCTGGGGTAGATGTTACCGAAGACATGGAGGAGGCCACGAATGTGATGGCTATCACTCGAACGGAACTGACGGCGGAGCGAATCGGGAACCACATTCGCAGCGACTTCTACCCTGAGGAAGTAACACTGGTGCAATTCGGACCCGAGCGAGACGTGCTCACTTTGGTGCAGATTTGCATGGTATTGTGGAAGTTCGGCCGCTGTCACTGGTATCGGGGACCACACAGCCATCCTTTCGAATAAACAGGTCCTATATGAATGGAACCACACTAGAGCGCTTAGTCGGTTGGGCTCATCCTGATCTGATCAAGCTACTGAAGTACAAACAGACGACGTTGTTTCTCGAAGGGACATTCAGGTGCATCCCGCGCCCATTCTACCAGTGCGTGGTAATGATGGTTTTTGATAATGCAACGGACCTATTCGTCCCTGTATTTTATACATTGTGCATGTCAAACACCCAAGATACGTATTGGCATTTGATGGAGGCTGTCAATGTCGCTGCAGACGACAAAATCGAGCCGAGCATGGTGGTCTGCGACTTTGAGGTTGGATTGCTAAAGGCAGCACAAATTCAACTTCCAGATATCGTCGGCTGCTACTTTCATTTTAAGCAGGCCTGCGAAGGAAGCTGAAGGCACTAAGCCTCCCTGAAAGTGAGGTCGTCATTGCAATGAGAAAGGGCTGTCTAGATATGCTGACTGTCATTCCACACGAGACGATGAAAGACGAAGGCATCAAATTTGTGCAAGGCAAGTTAAGAGACACGTGTGTGCCCAAGAGCATTCGGTATTCGGACGTGTTGTGGAAGCGGGTTGGTTCGTATTTTCGTACAACGTGGCTGAAGACGTACACACCTACTGTTTGGAATGTTCATGTGGTGGATGCTGCTATGGTAAGTCGTACTAATAATCCTTCGGAGCGTTTCAACCGCGAGATAAACGGGGAGCTAACAGCTCCACACCCTTCTCTACCATCATTTGTCGGCATAATCCAAGCTCTGTCGAAACGCTATGTCAACCGAATTGAGGATATGTCAAAGTCCCGAGCGAAGAAACGGCAACGTCGATCTCCTGAGCCACAAGATCTCCCTGTCCCTGTGGAACTCGGAGGAAGTGCAGACACCGTAACGACGAACGCGTAGTTTACGTAGAGTAGTAAAGATAATACGATTTTCAGCAAATTTGGAAATGCATGTAGAAGGGCTTGTGCATGAAACAATTTCAAGTCACTTCAGATTTGACCAACTTTCGACAGGGTCAAGGGATTTGATCAACTGACCATTTATGTGACGATCGAAATATGATCCAAATAAAAGTCTACCGTCACCTTCATATTTTCCTTCAAAGGTGGTCGTGAAGCGAGAGTCACGTCCGTCCTCGCTGTCAATGCCTGTCCAGTAGAAATTGTCACCATGACTCAAAATGCACTTGGGGACAGCTGAAGCGGCTGTAGCCGCTTCAGCAACACGAATCCTTCGTGACAGTCGTGCCCCAGTCGCCGATAGCAAAAGCCGAGACGGTGAACTTGGCTGTTCCACACACAAATCATCAACGCAAGTAGTTGGTACCGTCTCACAAAAATGTCAAGAGCTCACCATCGGTCGGGTCGGAGATGACGGAGCTCGACGCCGAACTCGTCGAGTTCTTGAGCTTGTAGGTGGTGCCCGAAGTCGAGGACGACGTGGTCGATGCCCCGCTGCCGGTGCCCTTCGAGCCGGAGCCGGAGCTGTTCGTGCCTGATGACTCGCTGGTAGAGTCACTAGACTTGCGAGCGACCAACACGGACAATCACACCGATGACAGCCAAAATGACCACCACACCGGTGATAGCGAACCATTTCGATTAATTAGACGCTGGTTGGTGCTCTAGGTAGTTGTCTGGGAGGGAACGAGGTCTGTGGAGGGCGGCCAAAGCTCAAATGAGCTGGTCATAGGTACCGGATACGCCCGGCACACAGCCTCTGGGTGCTTATTTTTTTTCAGTCTCTGATTCGCTGAGAGTGGTAAAAGTTTAATAATGCCGAATACCTATTGGATGAAAGAAAAAATGATTTTGGAGATTTTCTAAGCGTTTTAACGTTATTTTTAATTTTGGCGGCAAGACATCTGTGATTTTAGAGCTGTAGCAGCCACCAAAGGATTGCTCGATGGTCGCCATGCGGACAAGAAAGGCAGAGAGACCCACACAGACTCATGGGACACACCCATACTTACAGCTATCTGTGGTCTTATAGACTTCGTTGTGAGGAATGACACTATTTTGTTTTAAAAAATGCAGGTAGAACCTACACATGGGGAGTCAGTTCGACTACTGCATGTTGAGCACTTCGCGTCTCTATCCTCCTTGCGAGTGCACACAGGGATTCCAAATGATTCCTCGACGCCATGAGGAAGCCGACTGACCCTGAGTACACGAAGCAGAGCCCCGAGTACAGGTATCTGATTCGACAGGTTTTAAAGAAACGGCAGATGAACGAGTACTACATGTAGACATGTTTAATCATAGTACTGTAATTGGTAGGACACTCGCGCGTTGGCACTCGTCTGCGGACTTAGCCAGGCGCGGTGTCTGGATTAGATTATAACTTCCTTTTTGGTGTAACTACTCCGGGCTACGCGCCGACCATTGCAGCCCTCCGCTTCGCTGCGGGTGCATCAGGTCTCTTTAAGCCCTCATTTGGCATGACTTCCCATGCGTCTCACCCTCGAAGCGAAGGAGGACCTTCAAGTGTACTCGCAGTTCTTCCGGTTTATAACTCGTATAACAGGTCGAGAAGAAGAAGACGTTACTTGTAGGCGTCAAAAGACGGAGTGTGCACTTTATTAGTCTAAGGAAGCCAGCTACTAATAGCTGCACACCAGCCATTAGTGTTAGTATAGTTTAAGCTAGTAATAGCGGCTTAAACAGGGCATCCTAAATCTCATTATAATATCTTAGAGAGATTCGTTCAAGGTAATCATACTGTTTAGAGGCTACTTCAACAGCCTCCCTGCCTCTGAACATACTTTATCAAACTGACAATTCTATGTTATAACAGAGGTAAAACACTTTTTAAAGGACTTTTCCTCAGTCCTTGAAACGCCGCCAAGGAAGTCGCTTAGGCTAGCCGATCTGACTTTGCCCTGCAGTTTCTGCTAGGGAAGGAGGACGCTAAGTGACACGCCTGGTAGGAGCTCGAGGATGGAGCCCAACATGTCGTCTCTACTTGCCGCTGCTACGAAGCAGGCTCCTTCACGCATAAACAAAAGACAGAGGAAGAGCACAACCGCAAAACGATTGCGCGCTCGAAAGAAGGCATAAGCAGCTGATCGAGCTGCTGCCACGCACACTGCGATGATCACGTCGCGCACTACAACTCCTCAGGCCGTTCCAGAGGCTGAAGCAGTTTCTGAGAACTGGGCGACCAGCGTGTGACGCTGTGTTAAAAGGTATAATGGCTCAAGCATCACCAGAGGCTGTTTCGGAGGGCAAAGAGTCTTTTCCAGTTGCAGAGGGCGCTTCTATGAGGGACAAGAAGAAGCGGGCATCACGGACAGCACAGCAGCTTGCGCCAGTTCTTATCGCCGCGCTGGAGGATGAAGAGGAGGCTTTTCGAGCACTCGTTGCCACTATTCCACCCGATGTCACTAAAGTGGGGAAATTTAATGATGTTTCCCTGAAACCACAAAAGTGACACATTCTGACACCGACTATGTGCCTAGTGACACAAATGATGATAGTGACAGCGACAATGAGATGTATTGGCGCATCTACGACAAAAATTACGAGCGGTCGAAGTTGACTGTCACCGCAAACTACATGTCAACCAAGGAAACGTGGCAGGTTGCTAGGATTAATGACCGGCGCGGTGACTCGCTAGTACATTACACATACCAAGTGCTGTGGATTAATCCTCTCGTCAAGAAACGACGGTACTATCAGCGGACATGGGAGCCCCGTTCTCAGCTGCTTGCCGATAATTTCCGGAAGGAGTTCGAGCTGGTCGACAGGTGAAAAGCTTCTAAAGTCAAGACGTTCGCTTAATTCTGGCCTACCGATGAATTTGGCAAGAATGCTATCGGTGCGGACATGGAAGGACTCTGCATTTTCCACGCGTTGAAACGTGCACCAGAATTAACCGGCCGTCCGGATATTGTTACAAAGAAGGACATCGACGAGTTTGTGAAGCACCAGAGGACTTCACGTGGAGAGGACTTAACGAAGGGGACGTCGTGGAAGGTGGCTCTCGTCTTCTTGCGTCGCCTATGTGATGCTGGCCGTGACTTCCTTTATAGAGCCATTGCTCTGGATAATTTGGCGGTTCCTGTTCGGCGTGGCGTCCGTGTACTCAACGAGATCAAGCTCAGGAATGGTGTCTATGTTGTTGCTGCTTACAGCCACCAAAGCGTTGGGCATGCTTTCGTACTCACAGTCCAAGGCAATGACCGGCTTTTTTACATTTCGGAATAAGGTAAGCCTGTTGAGTCAGCGGAGAATTGAATTGATTTCTATGCGTTTGTTCGTCCGTTCATTGTCTGCAAGCAGAAGTAAATGATAGGAGTCAGTAGGATTTCCGCGGGTTTGCCTAACTGATAATGAACTTTCCCAGCACATAGGTTGTGCTGCATGGATGATTTCAAATGAACTCGTGTGTCTAGCTAATTTGGTACTTGACCAGGGAAACCTCAACGAGGGAAAACCTTGTGCGACCAAAGAGATAAAACCCATTGGAAAAAAATCTTAAAAGAACGCAAAATATAGACACGCTTCATGCGCTTGTATGATCGGTGTATTTCTATACTAGTGACCGGATTCTGCTTTCAGAGATTGCATTCTGAGCTTGTCCCTTAGTTCTCTGAGCTGGTGCTTGTCTAAAGCTGTAGTAAAGATGTCAGCTATCATATCTTTCGTATTGCAGTAGGTGACGTTGAACTCATGCCGCTCTACTTTCTCTTGTACAAAACATTATCGTACGTGTACATGTTTTGATCGTCCGTGAAGCTCGGGGTTGTAGCAGATTTTCATGCAGCTCTGATTATCCTCGTATATAGTGTTAGCCTGCGTTGTAGCGAAGCCAAGTTCTCTCAGGAGAAGCTTAAGGAATATCATCTCTTGCATGCAGTGACATAGGGCGATATATTCTGCATCTGTTATTGAGAGAACTACAGTATTATGCTTTCGCGAAAGCCATGAGATAGGACCACTAGCTAGCATTGTCACGTATCCTCTAATGGAGCGTCTCGAGTCGGGGCAGTTGGCGTAGTCAGAGTCACTATAGGCAATCAGTTGATCGGCAAGGTTTTCCGATGTAATATCGGTCGAGCCTCCCAGAAGAAGACCGTATTCTTTCGTTCCAGATAGATACTGTAGACCACGAATGACTGCTTTCTAGTGATCCATACCTGGATTCGCTAGAAATTGGCTGACCTCTCGCATGTAGAATGCCATATCGGGTCGAGTACCGACCATTAGGTACATGATACTGCCTACGGCTTGGCGATACGGAATCGATTTCATCGCATCTTTCTCGTGCTCACTGCTAGGCTGGCTGCTTACGGAGCGTTTGGCGTTCCGTTTTGCTGGTGTTGCAATAGGGTACGGAATGAAGACACTGAAGCGGTCAACGACCTTCGTAGCGTACTTGTGCTGGTGGATAAATATCGTTCGATTCTTACGGTCTCGTTGAATGGACCAGCCGAGTAAGTACTTCACCTCCTCTAAATCTGACATGGAAAATCGCTTATTCAGGGCTGATTTTAGCTCATTGACGAGTGCTGGTGTTGGCGAAATGATCAGTAAGTCATCGACGTACACTGCAATGTAACAGGTGATGTCACTAACTGTGCGTCGAAAGACACATCGATCTTTAATAAGTTTCAGGAACCCAAGACTCTCTAGGAAGGCAGTCAGGGTTTGGTACCAGACACGGGGCGCTTGCTTCAGCCCGTATAAGCTCTTAAGGAGTTTACACACTAGGTGCTCCTTGCCCGGGATTTTGAAACCTTCCGGTTGAGCCATGTAAATCTCCTCTTCCAAATAACCATTCAGGAATGCTGTCTTAACATCCATTTGGTGAGCTTCAAAGTCGAGAAGAGCTGCAATAGTAAGAAGTAGTCTAAGTACCTCTATCCTGATGACAGGAGAGAATATCTTGTTGTAATCGATGCCATATTCCTGAAGGAATCCTTTGATCACAAGACGCGCTTTAAATCGGTCGATTTCGCCAGTGCCAGTATACTTCACAACAAAGATCCATCGGCTACTTAAAATCTCCCTTCCTTTAGGAGGGGATACTAACACCCAAGTGTGATTGTCCATGAGGGACTTGTATTCCGAGTTAGCTGCTTTATGCCTGGGAAGACTTCATTGCTCCCCGATACGTAGTGGGCTCAGACACATACCGAATAGCTAGTAATGTGTACAGTAAATGCTGACATTGCTCCTGTTCGTGTATATCTTCCTCAGAGTTGAGAGTTACGTCATTCGCTTCCTCAGAGCTATCAATGGCTTCCGCAGAGAGGCGGGGTCGCCTAGGAGTCGAATGATGCGGAGGATCAGAGTCCGTCTCCGCTCGAAAAGAATAATGTATGGCTGTTCGATCAACAGCCTCCCTCAGTGAGGGCAGTACACGTTGGTTCACTGTGCCTGGTCTGAGGTGGGTGACGGTGTGGTCACTGGTTCTGGCTCCGGTGCTACTGTAGTAGCAGTTGCAGATGGCAGAGGTCTGGCAAGTGTAGCGGTAGATTGCTGCCGATTCGTGTACTGTGTGGGCTCTGGAGTAGACGTCAGGCCTGTGAGAGAGGGAAATTCGTCCTCTTTAAAGACTACATCACGACTGTAGATAATTGCATGAGTATGGATGTTCATCAGACGGTAGCCTTTCTTATGGCCAGGCACACCAAGATACATACACAAACGGGCTCTAGCGTCGAGTTTGTCTCGGTATTGCTTCGTGATGAGGACATATCCGCTGCATCCGAATATTTTGATGAACTGCATGGATGGAATACGGTTGTGCCAAAGCTCATAGGGGGTTCGTCCATCCGTCTTGGAGCTAGGGTCATATTGATGAGAGTGGTCACATGACAGACACACTCGGCCCATAACGGCTTCGGTAGCTTGTCGTCAAGTAGAAGGGCTCAGATACGCTCCATAATGGTACGCATGCGGCGTTCTGCAACTTCGTTTTGCTGAGGTGTGTATGCATTGGTAAACTGGGATTGAGTTCCATACTTTTTAAATAGGATGCGGCCAAGCTTCTCGTACTCTTTAGCGCTGTCTGCTTGAAGCCGCTGAATCTCAAAGTTACCCTGGTTTGCATTGTCTTCAACACCGAACGCGGACTCTATGACAGATATATCCTGGCTGAAAATATTCAGGGCTTTCTACCTGAAGTATTTGTAACAGCCATACAACTCGCTACGGTTCTTAATTGCATAAGTGAACATGAATCGAGAAAAGTCATCGATGAAGATCAAGAAGTAACGACAACCAGTAAGGCTAGGCACAGGTTGTGGATCACAGATATCTGAATGGACTTTTGACAAAGGTGATGTAGCACGTTTAACATCTCAATTAGAGTAAAATGGGGAGCGGTGTGACTTCGCTAACGTGCAGGTACAAAAGAAATCTGTCTTTGGACCTAGAGGTATAGATCCATCGAGTCCATGTATGGCCTGACTCATTCAAGACACGAACGTTAGGGTGTCCAAGGCGTTTATGTAAGAGCAGAAAGGAACGTTACTTACCTGAGGCAATAAGAGCCGCTGGCGGTGCCGCTGGGCTGGCTTGGAACTGATACAGATCCGTGTTGGTAGCCATGAGCGATTTGATCTTGAAGCGCTGGTCAGTTTGCATAGAACACTGCTTGCGGTCAAAGCTGAAGTGAAAGTCGTGCTTCACAGCTGCTGGAATTGAAAGCAGACTGAATTGGAGCTGAGGAGCATACAGGACGCCATGAAGGATAAGCCTTCCTCATACTTGATCTCCATCAAGTAGTGTTGAATAAAGTACGGGTCATTATGAAAGGCTGCTCCCTCGTACTTCTGGCAGATGTAGCTGAATATCTCGTAGGATGTCGTGATATTTTTGACCAGCCGCACGTGCATGTTATTTATCGTTTTCATCAAGAAGGCTTTGGTCTTGGCTTCTTGTCGACGGCGTTCGCGCTGGCTAAGAGGCTGACGCGGCTCTTTCTTGGCGCGTTTGCGTGCACGCGAGCCTCTCGCTGGCTAAATGAACGAGCAGCCGGGAGGTCCTTCCTCTTGATTGACGTGTCGGAGTTGGCTCCAGAGTCTTCGTCCGAGTCCGAGGGCGGCTTGAGCTCGTCGTCGCTCTCGTCGTAGTCCACAGCGTCGGAGTCGATTTCGACGTTCTTGGTACCGTTGGGATGCGGCTCATCGTTGGCATCAGCCATATCGCTGCCGCTGTCTTCGCTCTCGTCGTCAGACACACCATCGTAGTCGGGCTGCTTCACGTAGCCGAGTAGGTGCTTGCCATCTAGTGCTGCGCACACACGGGTCTTCCAGACGTCGAAGTTCTCGGCGCCGATGAGGCGAGGGAAGTCGTCGCTTGAGGCTTGGCTTGGGCTCATAACCTATAACTCGTATAACAGGTCGAGAAGAGTAGATAGAAGAAGAAGACGTACTTGTAGGCGTCAAAAGACGAAGTGGGCACTTTATTAGTCTTAGGAAGCCAGCCACTAATAGCTGCACACCAGCCATTAGTGCTAATAGAGTTTAAGCTAGTCATAACGGCTTAAACAGGACCTCCTAAATCTCATTATAGTATCTTAGAGAGATTCGCTCAAGGTAATCATACTGACTTCAACACGGTTGTACCAATATATCCATAATTTATGTCCAGTTTTTTTAAATTTTTTTTTTGAAAGTTTCGGTTTCCCACTTTTGTACTCGTTAGTCTCTTTTCACGCCATGAAACCTCGAAAACAATGGTTTGGTTTTGCCATCTATGCATATTCTCAGCAGTCTGACGATATTTAGACGAAGACAGGCACTCCTGGTCGTAGGTTCCAACATGTGGGACGTTCTAGGAGAGCTCAGTTGCCACGCTGCCAATATTGATCGATATCCGACTACGATGCATTGCAGCGTCAACTAATCCTCGTGAGCGAAAAAATAATAATTTTCGTCGCGTAAATGCCTATCAAAGTATGTTGAGGACTATGCCGAAAACACATTTGAATCATACCGAGGACGTGTATGAACCATACATGTCCTCGGCATTATCCTTAGCATACGTCGGAACTGGGTTAACAGGGTCCTTCTGGATGTTACAACCGGCCCCGTTAGCGATAAATTGCACACCGAGGGCAGACGACTATTCATTGCTCTCACCATCAGCATTTCTGTTCTTTTGCCCACAAATGGGCATCGCTTCCATGGATGATATTAATACTCTTGCATCCCCGCTCCCGCGAAGTGAACGAACGGTTTATAGCGACTCCTAGCAACTTGTCATGCTGCCGTGGTGGTGGACATATTTGAAGCGAAAATGATTGCTTCATTCAGTGGGTTAGGCCGTACATGTCCGCAACAGTATCGGTTCAATCCGCGTCTTCCTACTTCTGGTCTCCGATACCTCCAAACGTCAAAATGGCAAATTCGTAGTTGAATGTGGCAGTTCAAAATGACAGCCATTTTGAAGTTGAAAAGGTGTAGGCCGCAGTATAGTGATCTTCTTCGTTTATCGAGATCGAATATGTGCAGCAGAGTTGGTTTATCCATTCAGCAGTCGTCCGGGAAACTAAGCCCGGTTGACTAGCAGGCATTAGTGAGATAAAGCCACGGTTAGACAGAGATCCTTGCCGACCAACTTGTAGTACAAGCCTCGTACGACTGTCGGAATGGCCCATTATAGTAGAGAAATTCTTCTTTTTTGTCGGTTAGTTTTTCTGGCAGCTTGTGAAGCAATTTTTTGGTTGGTTCAACATTAGAATTATTTTTTTGCAATGTAGCTAAGAAGAGCTCGACGACGACGTGCACTCTTGACCTTCACCTCCGTCGTTCGGGACGTACCAGCAATGTTTTGTAGCCACACCACCCACACTGGTCGAGTTAAAACTCTCCGCATACGACCACTTGTCATCTGCCGTGTGATACTGCAGCTTCTTCGACGCAGTAAGAGAAAAGAAACCATACTCCGTACCGTCGTACACCCAAAGATTCTCCACATAACCTTCCGCATACGTCGGGATGCCACTAGCGGACTCCTTAATGATACCACCACCGGCGCCGTTATCAACGAAATGGACACCAAGAGACGACGAATAGTCATGATTTTCTCCGTGCGTGTGTCCATTTAACCAAAGGTGGACACCTGTATCATTGATAATGTCAAACCACTCCTGCATACCTGCTTCGGCATAATGAGCGTACGGATTGAGTGACTATTGACAATTTTCCACGTTGCCGTCGAATTGGCAATGTTTGCCTTAAGTTGCGTCCTCGAGTCGTCAGCCCAAGAGGTAAGTTGCGCAAGACATGCATCGTACATGTCTGTATCGCCGCCGCAGCACGCGTCGTCACCACGTGCAACGTTATCACACGCATCGTCGTCATCTCCAGCGTACCCGTAACACTGGCAGCATGTTTTTAATGCTCCGTGCGAGTCAGCATCGTTCGAGTCGACATTAAAGATATCAATGCTTACTCCGGCGTCCGAGTCCTCGATAGTGTAGACGTAGAAATGGTCCTCTAGAATCCAACGATCGTCATTGGGACTGGTGTATCCCGATTGCCACGAGAATTTATTATTTAGTGCCGCGACCAGCTCGTCGCCATCCGAACACTTGGCGGTGTTGTCACCCGACGAGCAAATGTAGTCGGCTCCACCGTAGTCGTGGTTGTTCAATACATTTACCCATGGAAGAGTCTTGATGTTGTCACCATCGAATTTGTCCTCAAAGGTGGTCGTGAATCGGGAATCACGACCATCTTCACTATTGATACCCGACCAATAGAAATTGTCGCCGTGACCAATGACAATTTTGGGGGCCACTTCGGCGTCAGTGTTGGTTCATGACGCTGGCCACAACGTCTTCGGCGTTGATATCGTAGTCTGTATACCCTGATTTTTGGCAGCATGAGTCCTGCGTGACGGTAGTGCCCCAGTCTCCAATGGCAAAAGCTGCCAACGAGTACGTCACGCTGGTCGGGTCCGACGTGATGGACGACGAAACACTGCCCGACTTCTTCGAGGATTTCGTGGGGCCACCAGAGCTGGTCGCTGTGATACTACCCGATGTGGACGTCGAGCTGGATGATGTGCCGTCCGTAGTGCTGGCTGAGCTTGACGAGTCCCTGGTGACCACCACGCCGACGATCACGCCGACGATGGCAAGCACGACCACGACGACGATGATGATGAGTGCGTCTGGGGATTGCCATACCGAGCGTAGTTCTTGTCTATAAACGGTAGTTGTGCTTCTTTCCTATTGTCTGCCTTCACAGTCGCGGCAAGTTCGAGAATGAGCTGGTTCCTCGAGTTGCCCCTGTCTCAAAGTGCAAAGTGAATCAGAGCTTTGACCAATCGTACGTCGCTAAAAGGATATGCCGGGAATCAGTGGAAGGTTTACGCGTCGAGTTCATGCAAATTGATACTCCGCAGCACCGTCAAATTGAGAGAAGTCACGGTGTAAATCGAGAGCCGCCAATAGCCAACGTGACTACACCAAAAACTTGATTCTTGTGCCTTTTTTTCTAACGCCAGCTTGCGTACCACACTTACGATGACACATGGATTTCTCAGTTACATCTACTACTTCGATATGCCTCTCACCTTATCAGGGCACTCAAATGTACAGTAGTCGACAAATCATTGTCCTAGAGAGCGGTACAGTACTCTAGGCCGTCGCAGCCTCAACATATGGAGCTGTTGGTGCACATAGTACCTCGTTACACTAAAGAAAACAAGTTTAGTGTCAGACCTATCAGCACAGCATTTTTACCGTTAGCTAGCATCAACTTGAGGGGAGTCGTGAATCAATCTGAAAGTCGACAAAATAAAACGAAAGTGAACAAAAACTGTGTACAGTAGTCACTACTGTACACAGTTTTTGTTCACTTTCGTTTTACTTCCCAGATAGAGCAGATGACACTACAGTACTGCACCCCGTTTTCGCGGGGGTGGACCATACAAATAAATCAGACTCTCGAATACAAGCAATAGCTCATTTGGATTCAGGATCATCACATCCGGAAGTTTATCAACGGTCCAAGGGCGCGAAAACGGGGTGCAGTACAGTACTGAGTAGTGTCATCTGCTCTTTCTGAGAAGTGCAGTGTGTCATCTTAGAATGGACGAATTGTCTCTGAGCAGTAAACATGTAGCGATATTGTCGGGTGATTCGAAGATAGATTGCAATAGAAATTGGGCCAACTGGACAGATGCAAACGACGGCCAATCTACATCGTTCCTAGCTTGCTTACTGTGCGTAACTTCTAGGAGCACCACTCCCACCGAAACCTCGCAAAACTTTAGAAATGGTCATTCCTTTTTAAACCAATTCAAGCGAGGTGCATCCACGGACGTCTTTGGCCTTCCGATCTAATCCTTTCTCGCTACGTTCGTCTCTTTGCTGAAACATCTACGAGCTTGACGTGCACTCTTTGCCCTCCGCACCGTCGCTAGGAATGTACCAGCAGTGTTTCGTTGCAACGCCACCCACTGAAGTCGAGTTAAAACTCTCCGCAAAGGACCACTTGTCGTCAGTCGTGTGATATTGCAGCTTCAGCCAGTCTTTCGAAGCTGTCAACGAGAAGAAGCCATACTCTTGACCGTCATATACCCACAGGTTCTCCACTAAATCCTTAGCATACGTCGGGATGCCACTACCGGTAGCATATTCCTTCTGAATGCCACCGCCCGCTCCATTATCAACGAAATGCACACCGAGAGACGTCGAGTAGTCGTGATTCTCACCGTGTGTGTGACCGTTCAGCCAGAGGTGGACTCCAGTATCGTTAATGATTTGTCCATACCAGTTTCAGCGTAGTGAGCGTAGGGCGAGTAGTGGCTGTTCACCACCTTCCACGTCGCCCACGAGTTGGCAATATTCGCCTCCAGTTGCTTACGAGAGTCATCGCTCCACGCTGTAAACTGAGCCATGCACTTGTCGTACATATCTCCATCTCCACCGCAACAAGCGTCGTCACCTCGTGCAATGTTCGAGCATTTGTCATCATCGTTACCAGCGTAGCCATAGCATTGGCAGCACACCTCTGTAGCACCGTGCGAGTCAGCATCACCCGAATCAACGTTAAAGATGTCAATGCTTATACCCGAAGCCTCGTCCTTAATTGAGTAAACGTAGAAATGGTCTTCCAACACCCAACGATCGTCATTCGGACTTGTGTACGTCGACTGCCACGGAAATTTATTTTTCAATGAAGTCAACAGGTCATCAGTATCCGAGCATTTGCCGGCACTGTCACCGTCCGAGCAAATGTAGTCGGCTCCACCGTAGTCGTGATTACCGAGGACGTTCACCCACGGCAACGTCTTGATGTTGTCACCGTCAAATTTCGACTCATAGGTGGTTGTGAAACGGGAGTCACGTCCGTTGGCACTGTCGATGCCGTTCCAGTAAAAGTTGTCACCATGACCGATGACGCACTTCGGGGCGACGTCAGCATCTTTTGCCTGTTGGTTCATGACATTGGCCCCGATGTCCTCGGCGTTCACATCGTAGTCATTGTAAGTGGACGAGCGTTTGCAACACGAACTCTTTGTGGTGGTAGTGCCCCAGTCACCGATAGCAAACGCAGCTAGCGAGTAGGTAGCGCTTATAGGGTCCGACGTAATGGTCGTCGCACTGGACCTTGAGCTAGATTTCTTTGTCGAAGATGAAGATTGAGTGGAGCCACTGGAGCCACCGACCTCTGTGTTGGTCGACCCTGAGGCAGAGCTGGCATTACCGTCGGTTGTGCTGGAAGAACTGGACGAGTTCTTGCTCACCACGATGCCTACGATTACTCCAATCACGGCGAACACCACGACCACGGCAATTCCTATCAGCACCTTCTTAGGAACCGCCATACTTTTTCGTTTTCGCTGCGTACTACACCGTTCGAGTAGTGTGCTGTCCACGCTGAAAATTCGCGAGTGAGAAACTATTGAATCGGCTGTGGACGCCCGTCTCAAGATCGTGACTTGTTCGAGCAGTGAGAGCCGATGGTGATTGGCCGCGATGCTCAACTGCGATGGTCAAAAGGAATGATAACATTGCACGCACCCACATGCACTGTTTAATTAAAACAATGTACAACTCGCTCTGCGCTATGGCAGTGGAATGGCAAACAAATTGTATTACAATGGTATGAAGCCACAGCGCACGATGCAGCAGGTGATGTCCAAGCTAATATTTAAACCGAAATGAACGTGTGTACCCTTCCTTAATATTGAAAATTCTACATGTATACGCTGAATAAACTTCGAAGTACTTATTACATATGGTATGGGGAGCCAAATGCTCGCAACAAATTTAGTATACAGAAGCGCAGGTGAGGGCGCAAACCAAAACATTTTTTCTTTCCACTTACAAATTGATTGTCCATAAGGTGGAGCGCTTCTAGTGAATGAGGTTTCCAATACACAAGACATCAGCGTAAGAGGGGGCAATCATGTATCATTCACACGAACCCAAGATTGAGGGCGCGGTGAGGCGGGCTAGCTTCGAGCGAGAAAGTCTTCGAGTGAGGAAGTTCCCCCATTCGATCGCCTGCATAGTCTATGTCAGTCTATCACTAGTCTTTGGTGTTTTTCCTCTTGTCGCTCGAAGCAGAGACTTGCTGATTGAAACCTCAATATCCATCTTGGATATTTCTCTATTTCCAATGCACAAGACATCAGCGTAAGAGGGGGCAATCATGTATTATTCACATGAACCCAAGATTGAGGGCGCGGTGAGCCCCCCCCCATACAGATGTGCTCGTCGCGGTGTCGGAGTTGGGTTGGACTGAATACCTAGTCGGCTTCTAGACCATTCGGCGCGACAGCCCCATAGTAGCTTCAGCAGCTAGTACAGGATAGCTCACATAGCTATTGCTCATCCAGCGACCAGGTAACTTAATAGCGAGACGGTCGGCCTCCCCACTGAGCAGAGCAGTTTCGCCTCCGATGCGAACCGAATGGGTAGAGTAGTTTTCTGGCGGAACTCCTAGTCTTGCTGCCAGGGCCTTCAACGCTTGGGCCACTTCCTCGGCGCTGAGATCCACGCACAAATATGGCGCCGTGTCGTACCCCAATTTCTTTCGCGCTTGCAGAATGTGGTTGAGTGCTCTCTTCGAACACAGCAAATTGTCTCCGGTCGCATGTATAGTCCTCCAAGCACCCCGACTAAATTGATCATTTTTTTGCGCCAGTCAAACCGATCGTAGCTGCTGTAGCAGCTTTGTATGAATTACGATAACCTCGATGACCCGAAAAATATGTGCTGTCAATCTTGAGGCAGTACGCGTGCCGGCCTGACTCCACTCGAAGATACTCAGAGCGCCGAAGTAAGAAAAAGAAAGCCAGCAGGACGGAACCCCACAATAGGCGGCTACGGGGGCGACCGAAGTCGAGATGTTGATGTAGTAGCCGGAGAAATGCTGGCGTGACTGGCTGCTTTTTCTTCACTGGGTCCGAGTGTCTCCTAATTCCTCGCAATAGAACGTTGAGATCGGGGCCATGCTTGACTTCCACTCCGCACGAGGCGGACAAAGTCTGCCAATGAGAGGGCGGAGGCGATAGCGATATTGGTATGGAGCGCGACCATGTTGTCATCGATTCCCGTCGTAAGCTCCTCATCCAGCGACTTCAGGGGCTTTACGCCGTATTTTGCTGCAGTCGTCGCCACTTCTTTCGCGGTCTCCGTCCTACAATACGCACTAAGTGTCTCCAAATTGGTCATGTATTTGTTGTGTGTCGCAGTCATCCGCTCGCGTACAGCATTTTCGTTTGATTCTAGACTAGCTGCAGTTGGACACAGTGGAGAAGTGTGCAAAGGTACGCCGAAGACCCTTCCACGTCAGAGGTCGACGAACTCCGGTGCGAGTCCGCCGAAGTGGGTCTCAATATGGGTCTTGGCTTCTGGAGAAAGTGACTTGGGCCGAAAATGTGCGCGGTACTTGGAAAAGCACTTTGCTGGGACACCGTTTCCATTGCACCCAGTTTTTGACAGGTACTTGAGGCACAGCTCGAGCAATCCTTGCTTCGGCAAAGTGCGCGCCAGGCTCTTGGGTACTCCACTACTTTCTTTGGTCGACCGAGACTATCGCGGTCGGCTATGCATCGAAGTGGTCGCGTGTTGTTGCGCTTTCAGCATAGCCTCCAGCTCGATCACTTTTTTTTTGTAGATCATAGAGCAGTTCCGTTAGTAGCGAGTCGTGAAGGGAGAGCTCGTCTTTGACTAGGATTGCTACCGCCAGGCCGTCAGAGATGACCAGACCACGAAACTTGCTCACCTTCATATTGATCCATAGCAGCAGGCGCTTCGTTGTTTCTCTGTCCGGTTCATTTTCGTCAGTAAAATCCTCAATAAACTTGACAGCAGCATTCAGAACGTCCATAGTGTCTGCGTTGTAAAACTTCCTTCCGAATCGACGGAGATTAGTAAGTGCATCCATGAACACTGTCTACGAAGGGTCGGTTGTGGCTGATTGGAGGCCGTTCTTCCTGGAAAAATCTGTCATATTGATCACGGAACCGGACGCATCCAGCGGTGTCGCTCGCCGTACGCGCTCAAAGTGCATGACGGAGAGGCCGCGAACATGAAATCCGAAATCAAATGCCCCGCGTAAAACGGGCGAAGCCTCTCGGATGCGAGATTCACGGGCCTGCGTACATTCAAGAATACATTGAGCGTCCTTACCTTGGTTGTCGGTGTGGCCAATGACGTTGTAGATCTGCTGCTTAAGTGTCGTTGGGCGAAACGTCGTGGCCGAGCGCCCGCGCGCCTCCTTCATTGCCAACATTGATGCTGTCCCGCCTCCGTTAGTGACGGTACCACCGGCGGGCACCGCATCGTGGGTCAATGCACGGTTCTGCTGCAGCACGGCGAGTACGTCGGCATCGTCTTCATCACCTGCCTCCGACGACGTTGACACACCCATGGGCGTCTCCCCTAGCTCCGAAGCGTCTGCACTTGCCTGGGCTTCCAGCGTCCTGCGTCGCGTGACTGGCCGCTTGTCTTGTACGTCCACGTCTGGGGATTTGCGCTTTTGCGCGACATTTGAGCCTGGACTGAGCCGGTACTACCGGCTGGGGGTTCGAACATGCTGGCACCTTTTTTACTCTTTTTGCTACGCGCACAATCTAGAACGTGCTGTCGTAGGACAGACACGACAGCCAGTGTGTCAGCTCGTAGGACAGGTACCAGGGCATCTCCCTCAAACGGAATACAGTGCTCAGGAGCTTTGGCGGCAGAGCTCCACGGCTCTTCCCCCACTGAGCGCACGCTTCGTCCGTCAGTACTAGAAGCTCTTCCGCGTTGGTGGTGGAGGCGTTGGTTACTTCCCGCTCCGGTCTGCAGAACGTAGTTGATCCAGTCCACCTTGATGACATTAGGCGGCTGCTCTAACTTGATTTTCTTTGCATCCTCTTTGCACCGAATGTGAAGCCACGGCTGGTGTTTGAACATGTGGTATCCGGTGACGAGACCGAATGTCCATTCATCCATGCCGATACCATCGGGCTGGATAAATGCGATCGGATGTCCGACGAACATGCCGGGCCAGAGACCACTCTCCTCATCCGTGACCTGGCGGCACCGCAGAACTGCCACCTCCACTTTATCATCAACATTTTCACCATCGTCAAGCCTAACGATGGCTACTGTTGCCTTGGCTCCGTCCACACTCAGCACTCGTACGTAGCGAAACTCGGTAAGCGAGGGTAGCTGCGCTGGCCCAAGGAAGGCGAGCGATCCAGGCGAGATAGCAGGTTGCGTCATGATTCCGAGCAGGCGGGTTAGCTTCGAGCTTCGAGCGAGAAAGTCTTAGCTTCGAGCGAGAAAGTCTTCGAGTGAGGAAGTTCCCCCATTCGATCGCCTGCATAGTCTATGTCAGTCTATCACTAGTCTTTGGTGTTTTTCCTATTGTCGCTCGAAGCAGAGACTTGCAGATTGAAAACCTCAATATCCATCTTGGATATTTCTCCACTTCGTTACGAAAATAGCTATGCGGGACAATAACTCCTTGCCCTTTTCAAGTATTTAACTCGAAGAGCAGGATTCCAAGAACGTCACTTTTCTAGAATAGAAATAAGCAACATTCACGCTCCCTATTGGCTGATACATTACCGTACTGACACGCATGGAATTGGTGTAATCGGATTTTTTCGATGATCTCTTTCTCACTTTCTTTTATAAAATCATTTCAAGCAAAATGCCGAGGTTGTTGCGTGTGTTTCTGGAAGTGAAGCACAGCGGATTTCAGCTCAATGTCGGTCCAGACGATACCCTGGCAGAAGTGCTCGATATGATCAAGACAAAAAGTCCAAGCATAGTCACATGTGATGCTATTAACCTCGACATCTTTGCCGCCATCAAGAACAACGACTGGCTGCGATTATATGATGAAGCCACGATAGCCCTAGCGAATGGAAATATATTGCACCTTTACTGAATCAAGAGATGATGCACTCCACTTGGACTATTAACAGTGGCGGAGGGCTAAGAAAGTTAGGGAATTTAGTAGCCGCTTTGAACAGCTTGCAGATAGCATCAAGATGATTTGTCCAATTGAATCGTTACTTGCGCCATCGAAAAGAGCAGACACACAGCTATTTTTGAGGTTTTTTTTACTGATTGTTGCGTTTGTGGGAACTTGCAAGTTGGGCGCTACGTTTGACGGACTTGTCAGTTTAATAGCCACACTTGACTGAATTTCATTCGATTTTATCCAAGATGGCTAAGGGTTAGGGAAAGCAAATCCTTTCTCAAGTTATATTTCCACCATTTCAGGATTACAAGCAGTTTATAAACTGCTACAGCCTCTACCACAGGTTCAATTTCTGTCGCTGGCACCTGGTCAGCTTTCTTGTTCCTCTACGACACTGGTTTCCTCGCCTTGGTACGTTATTTGACGCTTCTTCTTCTTCAATTAGCTGGCGCATCAGAATTCTACCACCTATACTCTTACGCTTCTTTTTGTTTGTTTTAGGAGATGGAGCACGAACAACGAGGATCTTTCGCCGCACTACATCGGATACCTGTACCCACGCTGTTTCACGCTGCGATTGTTGAGCCCGTTGCGCTCAACGTTAGCCAGATTTGCATGCATATTGACGCGCGAAAGTGGAAATGTGGTGTAGCGGGATCAGCAAAATCTGCGAGATTGCTGGATCCGACTTACCAACAGCGCCCAGACACCGACTAACGGAGGGGGCCCCCCGACGATCCGTGATCTGCTGAACTTCCCTCACCCTGTGTTCCCGTCGGTAGGGCGGGATCTTGCTCTCTCGGTAACTTCCGAAGTATTTTAGTGGTAAACTTGAGTGTCTTGGCGAGACGTGGGGATGGGGTGAAGCAGTAGTATTAAGATCTTCACTCTGCGTCCGTAGATGTTTCTGGATCCTAAGCGAATATTCGACCTTGGTGAATCCAAAGCCTAGATCTGGGATCTGGCCGTAGGGCCCCCTTGCGGGTATGCTCCCTTGCCTTTATGTTGCCTTTTCGTCGTACTTGCCGCCTCCGGTGACGGGATCTTGAGAGTTGAGAGCCTCTAGGGTGTAGCCGGCCAAGCAGTAAATCCGGTTAGCCTTTCGGATCTGCACGTGTAAAGGAAAGCTCACTAGGTTGTAGGATCTGGA